GCCCAGGATGCCGCGCCGTCGCCTCGCTAGTGCCCAGGCCCTGCCCGCGGGGCAGCGCGCGCCGGCCCCGACACACAGGGCCGTGCCGGGATCCTTCCTCCCGCAGAGCCCGGCCCTAGCGGGAAATAATGCAGCCCGCCTCCCACGCAGCCGGCCGGCCCAGCCCTCCCACGAGCATCCGCGCCCGCCCGACTTCGCCGCCCTGCTGGCTGTCAGGACTGGAAGGGCGCTTTCTGCCCCCCCTGGGGAGCCAAAACCACCGGGAGAGGGAGGTGAAAGAGGACGAGGGGGCCGGAGCGGCCGGCGCGGGGGTGTGCGGTACTGGAGGAGCGGCTCCTCCTGGGTCCTAGGCAGCCCCGGCCGCCTGACAGCTACGACCGGCGCAGCGCGCTAATGAGCGCAGCCGCGGCACGCGCTCCTCCGCCTGGGAAACGTAAACGCGCAGGCCGAGAACACTACAAAGGAAGGAGAGTCAAGGGCAGGGAACGCGTCGCTTAGTCAGCCTCCCAGGGAGGGACCGAGGTCAAACTAGAGCGGAAATCCGAAACATAGCACTGGGTTTGGGCACGAAATTCATTTTTTAAAAGGACATTTGTTGCTACATTTAAAAATTCTTTGAGAAAGCCTCCGTAATTTTCATTGCAGATTCGCTGATATGGTACGTTTAGTAACTTTGAATGAATGATGGATCCGAAGTTATTGATTTTTGCGGGATTTAGTTCATCGACAAATATTTGAGAGCATACCATGTGCCAAGCATTGTTTCCGTCACTGGGGATGTCCCAGCAAAGGAAGGAGAATCCCTACACCCTCTCCTTGACCCGCTCACATTCAAGTGATATCTAATGTTGTCAATCTGCGCTTCTCATGTAACAGGTCTAAAATTTGTAAGCACCCCTAATACTGGAAATCTTTATTTAGTAGTGTGTGGTCAACAATAAAGCATGTTTTCCAAAGGCTTGTAACAGTTATTTCCATTTTGCCTTTTGGGAAGGATGAAGCCAAAGATGTTTGGTCCTATTTTGACTCATGAAACTTTATTCAGAGCACCTGGTTCTCTCTCTTAAAGGTGCAAACTGACCTTTAAGGTAGAAAGCATAGGTGCTTTTCTTGGAATGTACTGAGTCCTGCAACAGCATTAATATGAAAAGGCAGACGCACACGCAACAGTCTTCTGTATCTGTAAGGTTGGTGTCCCCCGCATGACAACACCACAGAGGTTTCCTGCTCCATGCACGATAGTTATCCCAGGGCAGTTCCGGGGATACACCTGGCCATACTGACTTCTAGAACCAGAATTGGAGCAGGCTGGGAATTCAGAGCTGAGCTGGGACTTCAATGTGGCTTTTCGAGAGGAAAATCCTGTAATGTACTTGGGTCCAACGCTATGATAGGTTCAACCCAGACAAATTAAATCGGAATATCTGAGGATGGTCTTCTCCAACGGTATTTTTTTAAAGTACCCCTAATGCGTAGCTGGAGTTTTCAACCACAAGCTGTAACATTGAGTCAATGCTTCTCAAACTTTCATATGCTTACGCGTCATGGAGGAATCTCATTAAAATGCAGATTTCAGTTCAACAGGTCTGAGGTGGAGTTTGAGATTCTGCATTTCTAACAAGCTCCCAGGTAATACCAGTGCTGCTGGTCTTGGTACAACACTTAGAGAAACAAGGAACTAAATGGCAAATTCCTTGAGATAAGGCTCCTTGTAAGTACTAGTAACTGCAGAGCCTACCAACTTTGTAAATGGATTAAGATGGGTGTGTTCATTTCTTTTGCTATTAGTATTTCTTGAAGGAAAAAAAAAAGGTTTTGTAATCTATTGCTTTAGTAACAAATTATCCCAGTGTTTCACAACAGTAAACTTATTTTAGCAGTTTTGGTCTGTCAGGAATCTAGGAACGGTTTACCTCAAGGTCTTATGTGATGGCAGTCAAGACAGTTGGGGCTACAGTCATCTGAAGAATTGAGGCTGGAAGATCCACTTCCAAGACGGCTCATTCACATGGATGTTCATAGGACCCTCATCAGTTCCTATCATTAGCATCTTTCAGTGGGGTTGCTTGAATGTCATCACATGTCAGCTGGCTTCCTCCAGAGGAAGCATCCGAAAGAGAACAAGGTGGAAGCCACAATGTCTTTAATAATATAGCCTTAGAAGACATAACACTGTTATTCCTGCAATATCATATAGGTTACATGTCAGCTTTGTTCAGTCTGGAAAGATTACACAAGGGCATGACTACCAGGAGACAGGGACCTTTGGGGTCATCTTGAAAGCTTCAAGTATTTAATCTTTAGGACACTGACATAGACACATTTTCTCACTCCAAGATTCTTGAAAAAGGATTTAAACCTTCTTAAGTAGTGAACACAATTACATAATATGCCAGTATTTTGACATTATTCCCTAACATTATATCCCTAAGTTAAACAAAGATTACTACTTTTCAACAGGGTTAGAGGAAGAAGAGAAAGTATTTCCAAGTCTGTCACTTAGTTTTAAAAATGATTTGGTCCTACTCTACATTTGTTTGAAGAACCTTATCTGTGACCCTCATGTAAGAACTAAGATGCAATCACTTTTCATAAGATATTAATTAACAAGAATATGTTATGTATTAATGAATATGGTATATATCAAGACCCAGTTGGTAAAATCTGAAGACTTATTGAGGTGGAAGAAATTAGTTTCAGCATTCCAATTCCAATGACAACAAAATTTGGGGCCCTAGATAGACAATTATTAATTAATTTGGGTTATTACTTCATTATTTAAAATTTATAGACCCAAAGCAGTTTCTCCCTTTTCATGCAATTGCAGAATTTGCAGAGTAAGATATCTTAACTGGCATTTCTTTTGTTTTGATACCTTTTTTTTTCCTAACCAAAAACCACCATCTGATTTGCTAATCATTCATCCTTCCAGAGATGCTCTAATTCTTTTTGGTGGTTGCAAGATCCACCAAATCTGTCTGCCAGGTCTTGATTTAAAGGGGCTTCATTAGAAGAGGCTGGGCACAGATGCTTCTTCACTGTCTGGAAGCCCGCCTTACCCTTAGTTGTCTCTTTGTTGAGCATTCTCTATACCCTTCCCTGAACACCCCTTAACCTAACATTTGTTTGAATAAAAATTTTTGTGCAGAATACTTTAAAAATGACTTCATCTCTCTGCTACAGACAATTCAAGAATTTCAGTATCGAAACTTTTTTTTTGCATGTTTAGAAATGACCCCTTTCTGCTCTTGATATATAATAATTTTAAATCACGCAATATGTATTGGATGAGAAAATTTTTTTTTTTTTTTTTTTTTTCTTTTGTCTTTTTTCCGTGTCCGGCAACGGATCGCAACCCTCAGTGTTGCCCCCGTACCGGACCGGGGACCGGCAACGGGATTGCAACCCTCGGTGCTGCTCCCGCGCCTCGCTCAGCCAGTTGGGTGGGAGCGCCGCCACGCTTCCCAAGCGGCACACTATCCAGTGCGCCACCGGGCCGGCCCTGGATGTGAAAATTTTGTTGGCAATGTGCAAAAGGGGCGTTCTAAAAAACCACTTGGGGCAGAAAAACTCAACCAGGCATGAAGGAGAAGCAAATGTTCTTTGTTCTCTATACTTCTCTTTGCATCGCACGGGGTAGCAATACAATTTTAGAGCTGTCTTTAGCCAAGTGGTAGATTTCCTCTCCCTCTGCTCAACCCCCATCCCCAACTCCAACTTGACTAAGAAGTAAAATGCTAATTTTTATTTAGCATAATTTGT